TGGTGGCACCAGAAGCGAAATCTGTACGGAAATTAGGGCAAATATGTTCTTAGTTAGGTCTGTATTTTATGCCCTACTTAAATAGTTATAACACAATTCCCGTATCACACTTACACAGTGCACCCGATGAAGTGCCATAAGGCATTGCTTTGACCGCATTTGAGTAAGCCTCTGCTATCAAATCATCATAGTTACTTGGAAGATCTCCTGTCCAGCCATAAGGTGATAGTAAAAGTTGACCGTACGAGTGAAACGCTATCAAAATATTCAGACGTTCCTTAATGCTTGCAATATAATCGGCGATTGCCTTAACCTCCGGCTCCGAAAAAGGCTCTGTACCAGCATAGGTCTGAGCGCACGGATCCGAGGAAGCGCCATTATTTTCCATTCAGTGTGAATCAAAGTTACGATTCGGATCGGCACCAATGCAGGATGAGAAATTCACCGGCTGGCGTGTTTTACGCCACATGCGATCCTAAACATAAGAATGTTGATGATCAATAAATGGTTGAGATGGTCAGCTGCAGGTAATTTATACCGTATCATGTGTGTAGACAAAACCATCTACATTCAAAACTGGCACAATGTACCAATCATGGTTCTCAGCCAAGCTACGCACATCCTCGTCAGTGGAAGTGAGAAACTCATTGATTAACCAAGTGGCCGTTGCTGAAGTGATCCATTCGCGTGCATGTATATTGGATTCGATGAAGATACCAGGATTACCCTCTTTGTACGAGATCTTAATGCCGCGTATCTTACGTCCTTCATAGGAAGTGCCGATATCGATGCCACTTGTAACTGCCGGGTATTTCGCTAGTATTTCGTCTAAGAATGCTTCAATAGCTGATAAGGGATAATAGCGTGTCCAACCGAAGGTACTATCGTCTGTAGATTTTGACAATTGCTCACCATCGATAAGGCTGTAGAGTACTAGATTAGCCTCTACTTTCCCATGCTTTGTTTTTGTGGTGAAATTCTTTCAATTACTTACCTTTGAACATTGGATACCATTACCTCCAAAGGCAGGCTATAGGTACGCGTATAGTTCTGCAGGTATATAACTTTTTGTGGACTGACCATAATATGCACCTCTTTATTGCCGCTGTGCCATAAATTGAACTGAAATTTTTATTTTCAAGAATTATGTTTTTATACGCGAATTTATTTGTAGGAATTTTTAAAATTCTGTATGTTGCTCTTTAAAAACTTAGCTGATTTCTACTTTTATTAGCTTTTGTGCTTACATTCTCCGAGTTGGCAGCTAATTTCTCGATCATTTGTTGTTGCTCAACATTTTTTGTTGTAATTTTGAAAACTTTAAAATTGTCGTATCGAACTTTAGATGCACTTCCTAAGGCTAGAAAAATGACCAAGCTGGCTATGACCAATATGAGGCTCTTCATTTTGTCCCGATGACCGTTAAAAGCTAACTCATTTCAACTGGAGTAGTCGCCATTTATATATGTTTGTATACTGGCCTTACGTACGTGCACTTTTTTCGTTTTGTGATATTCGATTAGCGTCTGATAAGCCAATCAAATTTGTTATAAAACAATTAGCTTAAGTACTTTAAAACATCAAATGTGGAGCATATCGGCTAGTAGAAAATATAGTAGCTGGGTTAAGTAGACAAGAAAGTAAAAGCTAGAACTGCAGGTTTTGTCGAGTAATTGATGGCTTTTTATTTGTTGCGCATGGCCGTTTTCACCATGTCTTCTGGTTAAGACTAATCAGAAGGAAAATAGTAATACATAATAGATTGGCGCTATTTGTGTTTGCCCAAGCTTATGTCCGATTTGTGGCGTTCGCCTTGATGTTGTCACACAAGGGGAATGACCTACAGTTTTACGCTGACTCCGAACGGCGATCATATTCATATTTATGAGAAGCTGTTTTTCATGGCAGAAATACACTCGGAGGTTTACCATGGCCTGTCGAGGGGAGATCGCTGTTAATAAAAAACCTTTTATTCTATATTTTTGTGCTGTTGTTGAGCAGGGCTTAAACCCAGGCTCTACGCAGTGGTAGCGCTCACTGCTAACCACTAAACCACAGCGGCCGCTAACCAGAAGTAAAAGCCCCAATAAAATACATATGCACGTCGACTGCTTTATCTATCACATGTAATGTATATTAGACTGCATCACTCCCCATACCAAAAAAAAAATCGGTACTGCTTTTCCATTGGAATTATAAAATCTATTATATTTTAAGACGTCCACCAAAATTATTCGGAAAAATATTAAGACCTAAGCGAGCTGGACCGATTTGAAAATACCTCCAAAAGAGGAGTTTTTTTTATAAATAAAAATAGTTTCTTAAAGATGTTTTTTGAAAAAACCCCGTCGAATGACAAAACAGTTTAAGCTTAAAAAAATTTTTATCGGAATCGCAATAATCAAATTTGTAATCCTGTTTTTTTGAACTTATTTCAGAGATTGGTATAAGAAAAACTTGAATAACTGAACCTAAACTCTTCCGTGGACAAAATAGGAATGTCTGCGTTGAACGCCACTGGAGTGGGACGACACAAAGTCCCCGGCTTACCATGTAGCGGTAGTTTTCGGAAAGGTGAAAAACATATATTTAATACTTGCGCCGGGTATTTAATGTTCTGCTCCGCCCGAACTTTTGTTTAATTTTAGTTTTTAATGTTTTAAGGGCTGTTTGCAGCTCTCAAGAAAAATTACGCAATAGAAATGAAAAAGAATTTTCTTTCTATGCAAATTTCTTAAATCATTATGCTGCCCTCAAGAAAAAAATGCTGGAATGTTTATTTCTATAAGAACCCTGCAGGGAGTGACGTTAGCTTATACCTAACTTTAGTCTGTTTACGCGAACACTAGTGCTAACTATTAACTGTGTATTTTGTTCGAAAAAAGCTAACTACTTTTGTGGGGCGATGGCCGCAAAAAAGTCAGACCTGGATACCTCTGCATTACATGTCAACTAACTTGTAACTAACTACTTTTGGACATAAAATATCAATAAGAAAAACAAAATATTTTTTGTTTTTTTTACTTTTTTATTTACTTATTTATTTACTTTATTTTATTAAATTTCATATTTGTTTACATATTCTGCTCTGGGTGGCCCCATATTCGAACACCGTCAGACATAACTTCAAAATCATAGTATAAAATTTCGATCTTCCTTTTATTTGTCCTGAATATGAAAAAGAATCTGCGAAGTTCAGAAAAAAGTGTATTGAAAGTAATTTTTGTATGAGGATATTTAATTGAAACTTGTAAAGAAAACCAACTCCCGATTGCGTCTGCATGACTCCTGCACGACTTTACAATTCACTTTAAGTTGGTTTTGTCATAGCTAATTAAAAGTGAGGTATTAATCGAAATCTCGCCAAAAAGCTAACTATAAGTTGGTTAGTTTTAACAATTGATAATTTTTCACTGCAGGGAAAATTTAAAACAACAGCAAAGTTTTTCTAGGAAAAGAAATAATGAAAAATATTTCTTGCGATTTTTCGTGAGATCTGCAGACGGCCATTTAATGCAAAAAAAGCATTTTTTTGTTTAATTTAATTTTTAGAAAGACAAAACAGAATAACGCTAAACCTCCTCGTTAGTAGATCTTTCAATTAGTCTTTCCATGGGTAGAAAAGAGCTTTCCAGAAAGTTGACAGAAATGACGATTGTCTCACGAAGCCCTCTGCCTTTGTGACAGTTTGCAAGAATTGCCCTCCAAGAGGGCATCTGAATAAGCTTGGAATATACATATAGTTTAATAATCTGTTTCAGTTTTGCGACTCAACATATGTATGTATGCTCGTTGTGAGTGAGGCCATCCGTAGAAGACGTGCGCGGAAACTAGGCTTAGGCCCTTATTATGAGCTGCATTCGATTTTCGATCTTCGCTGGCTATCGAAGATCGAAGATCGAAAGTGAAATTCGTATTATGAGCTATGCAAGCGTGTCGAAATTTTCGTTGAGTATCGAATTTTCTGTCGAACAGAATTTTGCTTTCGATGGTGTAGCGAAGTGTTAGAAAATTGTGAAAAATTTATGATTTTGTATATGTTTTCTTACATTTTGGCGGCTAGACATTAATTTTAAACAATTTTTATTAATTGCATGCAGTTCTAACATCTTGAATACTAAACACAAGCTAGAAAGGCTGGTTTTACTTGTGAAAGAAAATCCCAATACTCTGTTGGCACGATCTCAGAGAACAAAATCGTAGAGCTGTTGATAGTTTTAAAATATTTTAAATAGATTTGGCTCACAAACGCCTCTTTAGATGGTCGGAACTTTTTAATGAATCTGTAGACAAATTTCTTAAATATATTTTATATCAAAATATATTCGAAAGACTAATAAACTTAAACTCTCTTAAACATTTGCTACTCCTGGCCAGTTTACTAAGCTCTCATCCTCTGACGAATCGTTGAACCAGAACTCGTTGTACTCATTTTACCACGTTTTTATAAACTTGCTTTCTTTTTTACTTCATTTTAATTAGAACAAATTTACATAAATATGTATAAGCACACTATTTAGTTTGCTCGATTTGTAAACAAAGCTTCTCAGCGGTGAAAAATATACTATTGTGAACAACCTAAATGAGCGAAATTCACAATAGCGCTATTCTTCATCGAATGAGTGCCATAATACCAAATGCAAATTCGTTCGCTCAGCACTTTCGACCACAGTCGAAAATCGAATGCAACTCATAATAGGGGCCTTAATGTCGCCACAATTTGAGTACATTTACTCCCTAGCATCTCTTAACTTTCGGATGAATTTAATTGTGTTTTCGTTGCTTACAAAAAATGTTGCCCTTCCATGGTGCAAAATGTATTTGTTGTTACAATCAGCCGTGCCCTACCCTAGAGCGTGACATATTAAGGACAGCGCACAGAAATTTTTCACGGGGCAATCGAAAGGCGAAACAATAGATCTGTAGGTCGCGGTACATACTAACCTCATATTAACATCTCTCTCTCTCTAAATATGTTCTTTGTAAATATTTAAACCGCATTCATTGTATCTTCATTTCTCTTTATTTCACACACTTTTTATGATGGTTTACAAAAATTTGTTTTCAGTAACTTTAGTACAAATTTACGCATTTATACGAATTTCCAAAAAATTTAGCACACATTTCATTTCATAATATGAATTACAAAAAAAATATATATATATTTATATTTATACATTAAATTTATTGCGCACGTTGAAGCCCATTCGCTTGTTGGCACTTCGTACCACAATCAGCGCCCTCACAAATATCACAAAGCGACGACTGCACTTGATAGTATTCGGTTGCATGACGATTCATATCGTAGTAGTCATACACTTTGACAGCTGCAGGCTTTTGTTTGGCCACCGCATGTGTCCTGGAAGCCTTGACAGGCACACACTTAGCATCGTGTGGCGCTAAACCATCAAAGTACACAATTACTGTTGAATCCGAATTCTTCGTTTCGACGCGTTTGACACGATCCACCGATTCGATGCTTTCGAAGCCTTCGGAATCCGCAGTGTAACCGGATGGTAAGCTAACCTCCATAACGGCCATATTGGACTCTTTCTGTTCATCGTCAGCGCTGTCGGGTACGTACTCGGCACAAACTTCAACAACTAATAATGCTTTATCATCTTTAACATTTGTTTTTACTTGAAAACTAGGTTTTTTATCTTTGTCAGCTAAATTGTAACGATACGATAGTTGTACCATAGATGAACCTTTGCCCTTGGCGGTGAAATCGACTTGACGTGTGGTCTTGGGGAGCTAAGAATTTTAACAAAAAATAAAAAAAATGTTAGACCAAGTTTTCAGCGTTTGTTCTATACTGATGCTAGCGCAAGTTAGCCGAAAAGCTGGAAGTATAAAACAGGAAAAATAATGTTACTTTCCATTAACTTACCACATGTGTTTGCAATACCAACGAATTTTCCGCATTCACTTTAATATTGCCTTTATTCTCTTCGCCGCCGCTTGAAACAAAATCGATATCCATTTCACCACTACCAGAGCCGGTCTTCTCGGCGAAGCTTATGAGCGCTTGCAACCCGACAACCGTGTCTTGTGTTGAAGCAAAACCACCATTGCTGTTGCGCTGAGATATTAACCATTTGATAATGGGCAAAGCATTCACGGCACCTTCCTTGTCCAGCAAAGCGAGCAGCACATAGGAAGTGATCTCTACATCATTGCTGTGTGGATGCCAACTCCAAATGGGTTCCTCTTTTTTAGGCGCTTCGGCTTTTGACCACCATTTACGATCGTTCTCTTGTTTGGCAAGGCTCTGTAGGTTGGTCAGAACCTTGTCAGCCTTAGGGTTCTTGGCAATTTGTAGAGCCAGCGCGGCAATAGAGAGTGCATACTGGTCATCCGTCTGGTCTACGTTGTCCAATAGGTATTTAAGGCCATTTTCGATGGCTGCCTGATACTTAGGTATGTATTCCTGAGAAATAAGTTGAAAGAAAATATGTTTTAGGTTTATTTTGATTTGGAAGAAGATCAAAGGTACGTAAAAAGACAGTATTAAAAATCTATGATACTCTTCTACATAGAAGCTATATAAAGCACGATCCCCGCTTATCGTTTAAACTCTTTCCACTTGTGATCTGTGACTTTGACTTCAATATTTTACAAGTGTGACAATAGTACCCCTGAGGCATATCATACTATATTAATATAATTTAAGGGACCTCACAGCTATACTTTGATATGCCGCATGTGCAAAAATTTCCTTTCTGACATTTATGAAATTTTTGCACATGCACTTCTCAACTGCCGTATAATCAAACTGACTTAAGTTAAATTTGATGGCTCGGCCTATTCGGACGCCAATGCTTTCGGAGTTTTTTTGCTGACTCTGCACGGCTTACAACCATTGTGGAAATAGATGATTACCATTGGCCACAGCCTACCCACATATGTACTTTTTGTTCCAATAAATATTTTGTTTTTGCTTACATGTAAACAACATGGCCTCCTCTTCAACTAATTTATTCAAATTTCATTTTATTTTATTCGTTTTGTCGGGACCAGTACAATACTTTTCACAACCAATTCGGGAACAGATCAGGTTATTTCAGGATCATTTCGTGTCTATTTTCGAATTACCCTGAAATAATCCCCAACTAGTCGCAAAATTGTCCTGAAGTAGTTATAAAGTGGTTCTGAAAAAGTCATAAATTTGTCCTGAAATTATATCGAACAAGTCTTGAAACCGTCCCGAAATGGTACCTTAGTAGTCCAAAAAATCCCGAACTAGGCGCGAAATGGTCATGAAATAGTCCTGTACCGGCCCTGAAATTTTCCTGAACTAGTCAACGAATAGTCCTGAAATGGTACTCAGATAGCCGTGAACCAATCCCGAAATGGTTCCGAACTAGTCTAAAAATGCTCCTCAATATGTCCAATGGGCCTAAAATAGTCCCGAAATGAATCTCACTTAGTTCCAAAATAGTCTTGAGCCAGTCCAGAACTATTCCTCAAATAGTCGTGAACTAGCTTTACAATAGCTCCAAAATTGCCCTGAATAAATTCCGAAATAGTCACGAAATAATCCATAACAAGTACTGAAATGGTGTTGAAATATATTTCTGAACCAGCCCCGAAACGGCCCGAAAAGTCGTGCGCTTGTCCCGATATAATCTCGAACATGTCTTAAAATGGGCCCGAAATGGTCGCTATTAGTCCCAAAATGATCACGATTTAGTCCCAAGATGATGCTCAAGTAGTCCTGAACGATCCCCAAATGGTTCTGAGCTAATCCCATAATTATACTGAACTATTCTCGAAATGTTCCTAAGAAAGCCCTGAACTTATCTTGAAATTGTTCAAAAATAGTCCAAAAATGGTCTTGAAATAGTCGTGAAAAGGCCTGCATAGGTCCCGAAACCGTTAGGAAATTATCCCGAAATAGTTCCAAAAAGGTCCTAAACAGGTCCCGAAATGAGCCAGAACTAAGCCCGGAACGGTGCCAAAATAGACAAGCAATGGACCTGAAATAGCACTGAGCTAGTCCAGAAATGTTCATTTCAACATACAAGAAGCAGTTACAAATATTTAAAAAAAAAAAATTGATTTGAGATACCTTGCGACTTACCTCATTTTCCAGAAACGCCAACAGCACGAATGCCGTCAATCCCAACTCATTCTGATGCGCGGAGTCAAACAGTTTACCATATTCTGGGTAACTGCCATTTGGCGCCTGCTTCGATGCCAAAAAGTCCAATCCCGCAACAATAATTTTGGGATCAATATCAGTGTACTTAGCAGCCTGATGGAATGAACGTACCACATATGCGGTCAGCCAAGTGCTGCCGGATTTGTCAGATTTACCGAAGGCACTGTATGACCCATCATCATGTTTATAAGTTAGTTCGCGTTGATAACCAATATCGAGGAATTTCTTCGCCTTTTCCTTAATCGCCGGCATATTCTGTGCGATAGCTTCCAGGTAACGCAAAACTAATATGTTTGGTACAAAATTCACCATATTTTGTTCACCACAGCCATAGGGCATGCGCACCAATTTATCAAGATTTTTTACAGTTGGACCCAACAAATCACCCACCACTGAGAATTCAATGTACTCGGAATCGGGTACAGCTTCGGTGGGCACATCAATACTCAATTTTTCGCTATGTTCTGGTTTATCTTTAAGATTAATGAAAACGGCACGATTTTCGTACTGTGTCACGCCTTCGGGTTCAACTTTGAGCGATTGGTGAATAGCATCGCCAGCTAGCGGTGTAGTGGCTGTTATTTTTAAGGTAACCTGACCAACTTTCTTCGGACGTATCATAAAGGAGACGCTCTTGCCAGTATTGGATGGAATCGACACACGTTTAGTGCGTTTTATCTCATCCAAAGGATTATCCTCGATCTCATTGGTAGCCTCGACGAATTCGTACTCTTTGTCTGTATTGTCCATGACTACCTCTGCGTCCAAAGCCTTTTCCATGTAGTTGAAAATGATGACAGGTATGGCAATGACCTCACCTTAGGGGGCAGGAGACGAGAGGTTAAAAATTTAAAATTGTAAGAGATTTGAACTAACTGGCGCTATTACTTACCGCGCTTTACCGAATATGGCAAATTGGTTGAAACGAAAAATGGTTGGAAAACTTGTATTTTCGTTGGATCTGCGGTGAGCGCAAAACCACTCTTGGGATTCAAGGAAAAGCCAGTAACAACCCAAGAGGTAATCGTATCAGGTATCTTCTTGGTCAGTGAGAAACTTTCGCCATCGGTGCTGAAGGATGTGAAGGAGTTCAAGAGAGATTGAAAGGAGGAAAAATAAATCGAAATATTAATTCCAGTTAAAAGTTAAGTTTTAGATGAAGGCACAAAAAAAGCGAAAACACAATGTGCGGCAAATAGAAAGCGACAAGCAAAATTTGTTATTTAGTTTCGTCAAAATTCAATACATTAGAGGAAACATGCAAATTAGTGGAGTGCAGGGTTAGTATGTAAAGATTGAGTAAATACATATGTGCAGTTGTTGTTAAAGGTAAAAGTAACAAAAATGTTGTATTAGCTTTGGTGCAAATATGGAACTTAAAACGTTTTTTTTTTTTTTAAAATAGTGAAAGCACACAACTTTTTGTGAAAGCTCAATTTCTTTAGAATAAAAGCTACTAGCAAGCAAAACGTGCAAAAGGGGCATTCGGTATATACAATAACTGGGAAATATTTACAAAAAAAATTAAACATTAATTTTACTAAAAAAATACTAAAGCTGACTACGTACAAAGCTTTTAATCATTTCTACGCCACACTACTTCTGGCGCATTCGTTTTAATAGCAAAATACTTTCGCAAAAAAAAATATTACTGAGACTTTTTTTTACTTTGACAGTTCATGGTTGCTTAAAATCCAGGCTTCAAGAAAATTTCTACGCAGCTCGACAACCTGATTTCCCATGTAAGACGATTCAGCGCTTAACGAATCCTGTACGTGCTTCCTAATCGGACCGCCAATCATGTCGGATAAAAATGAATTGTGTCCTTTCTTCTGAACCTCATGAATGTATGCGTACAGATTAACTTCATGCAAGTATGTGTGTTTGTTTGTGTAAAAGTGGCATAGTGATTTTGGATGACAAGCCGAACAGAAAGAATTAGAAAAAAAAAATTATAAGAGTTTTGATTATTTTTATTTTTTATTATTGTGGCATAATAACTTCTATATCATTATAAATATTGAGATCATCATCACCCTACATACATATGCATGTAGGTATATGGTTTTCGAATACCGGAAGTGAAACTTCCTTTGATTCATTTCTAGTTAATTTCTTAATGCAGAAGTTTGTAATACTCTTTATATTTGTGGTGGAGGTTCACACCAAAACATTGCATTTCTATCGAAATTTTAAATGAGGGAACGAAAAAATACAACAAACCTTCGGTTACGTCGCCAGTGTTCGACTATATAGAGGCAGGAGGGAAAAATAGTTAACGTTCGTTTGCTGAAACCTGAGATGTGCCTTAATTTTTCTTCGCTCTTATGAATACCTTACCGAAAATTTCCAACATTTGTAATTTGCCAAATCCACAAGAAGGGAGATCATGCGGTTTACGCCAGCATCCAGAGACGATAAACGATTTACCGCGACAACAGAGCCGAGAGCGCAGCTTTTTACAGCCTAGAGAATGAGACAAATGTGGTTTGTCTAGCGGTGAACAGGGACAAGACAATGCACCTCTTGGCAACAAGCAAATACATAGTTTTTGTGTAATCGGAAACACTTCATTACTGGAAGTTAAAACTTTGAAGTAGTAGTTGTGAAGGCCTTTGTCTTCCTAGCATAGTCAGCATAAACACCATCTGGCCGGCAGGAGATCGAGCGAAATAGAACTCTAGTCAGCAGGTGCTACTACGAGCTCGTTAGGCAATTGAAAAAGAGTGCACTCTCTCCACGAACAAAAATCACGCTTTAAAAACCATCGAAAAAATATGAGGTTTTAGAAACTTTCGAGTGCAGTTTTCAAAACAGACCAAACGAGCTTAACCTTTATATGGACATAGACAACGGTTGCGATGCCTTAGACGTATGTACATATGTACATACATTTCATAGAGATGGATGATGATGATCCGATGAAAATATTCTTTGATTCGGCACTCATGGGTGGAAAGAAAAGAAGGGCGGCAACGATCACAATGGAAGGGCCGAGTGCGGAAGACCTTCTCGGCATTCAGGATGAACAACTGGTGCAAATTCGTGAAGCGTTTGCGGTGCCGTATAAGAAGAAATACCAAGTAAACACCACCACCAAGTTTTTATTGAGTTTTGTCGGGTGATGAATTTTTGAACTCGTTAAATCTCTTATTCTATATTTCAAAATATTCTTAAAATAATTCTTCACCGGCTGAGACACTTAACAAATAATTTAATTTTTATTAATTCTCTAATAAATTTTTTTTGTTGATATTGACAAAAAAAAGAATGGTTCGAAATGGTTTTCTGCACCCCTGTAAACTGTACAAATAGCGGCTGATAAAAGAACTTATTTGCTTCGGATCCTAAAGAGTTACCAAGTAACCAAGGAACCTTGTTCAGATTGACTCTGTGAACCTAATTATCGAAAGTCTTTAAAAACAATATTTACTCTATTATGTTGCTATTATATTTATGTTTCTTAGAGTAAATAGAATAGTTTTAGGCTATTTATAATGTTTTTCACCATTTCCTTTTTTTTGTGTATTTGTGCAAATTAATTTACTGCTCTATTCACACGCAAAGTCATAACTCGCCGAAATGACTACTGTCATAGCTGGGGTGCCAAAAAAATATGCTACAAAAACTTCATTGAAAAGCACATTTCTAATTTTTGTGTGCACCTTTTATGAGCTTACGGGGCATTTTTTTCGGAATACTTTTAGACGAAGACCGTATGACAGTAGTAATTTCGGCGAGATCTGTCATCACGTTAGAGTGAGTTTAGTCACGAAATAAATAACGAAAGTTTCTACGAGAAACAGATTAAAAAAAATTAAAGCGTAAAGTTTAATGAAAATTTATTTTCCAAGGTAAGGCGTTAGTTTAAAAAATCTCAATTTATGTATTTTCACAATTGAAGTATGTAATATGTTTTTTATTTTATTCTAAAAATGAATCGAAGAAATGCATTTAAAAAATCGCAATCGTACAAGTTTGAAAACAGAAAAAAGTGTTCAAAAACGTCAAATAATAAAAAAAATCTTCGCTGACATCGCAGAAAGGAATTATACCCAAAATAGCAGGTAATGAATTATGAAATGTTAGTAAATTGTTTATTGACCTCAGCAGTGGGGCTATTCTCAAAAAGCCATTCGAAAATTGTCGCTAACTTGTTTGAGAATAGCCTCACGGAGTTGAAATTACGTATTGCACTTTACTCTTTTAGCTCTTTAATCTTGCTTCCGTAAAAACCTCGATCGGTATATAAAGTCTTAACAAATTTCATTATTTACATGTCGTTGTTATCGAAAATCCATGACTCAGCAAATTCTTGACGAATCTTTGGACTTATATTTGCGTCAATTGGGCTTGCTGAGGTAGTTGCATAGAACATTGGTGGTGAAGTTGTAGTAATAAAACCATTAAATGCTGCCATTGCAGGGATAGGCCGACCGAGAGCTAAAGGCCTGATATGATAGAAGATTTCTAGAAAAATGCATAAGTTTCAGCGAATTAGGCACGAGGTAGGCATGGTCAAATACAGTAAAAAGGGGAACTCAAACGAACATACATACATAAATAGATTATAATAAAATATTTAAGAAAATATATGTGCAAAATCCGCGATATTTAAATTTACAGCAAATGGTGATTTTTCTAATAAATAGTAATTCAAAAATGAGCCAAAATAGGGATAATAGTGACAAAACCTCACATAAATCTGGAATAAAAATTGTCTTACAGTTTTAATACAATAAGTTTCCTAAAAACTGGCATAAAGAGTAATATTAAACTTATTAAGAAAAGATGAGAAGAAGAAACCTAAAACAGGCATAAATAAAGTATTTATTCAAAGCTAAAAAAAATATACTTCGATTTTTTAGTGAAGCACCATTAAGCTAGAGTAAAAATGCACTAAAAATTTACGTAAAGAGTGGCATACAATAAGATTGGGAAACTGGTGTAAAGACTGGCATGAAAAGTGCTATCATTTTGGAGGTCAAAAGTACATACATATGTTAAAGACTATTAATTGGTGTATAATAAAAAGAAAATCAAACTGGTATAAATAATTTTCGATTTGTGGATGATGCTTTATTAAGCTAGAGTAAAAAGTGGTTAAAAAACTATTATAGAAACTAATATAAAATTGAGTACTAAACTGTTATAAGATAAGGTCATAAACTGGTATAAAAATGTGTGTCATAATGCCATAAAAGTAAGATATAAGCTGGTATAAAATTAAGTAATAAGGGGTTGTAAAATTCAGCAATAAACTGGTATAAAATTAAGTAACAAACTGATATAAAACAAAGCAATAAATTGGTATAAAACAAAGTAATAAACTGATAAACTTATGTAATAAATTTATTTAGAATAAAGTAACAAACTGGTATAAAATGAAGTAATAAACTGATACAAAATAAAGTCATAAACTGGTATAAAATTAAGTAATAAACTGCTGATTAGCTCATTGAGAGAGCAGACCAGAATGATTGCATGTGTGTATATGAAAAAAATATTTATTAGTGCAAAAAAGGTGGGTAGACACTGAGGCAAATGGTAAAGCCCAGTTACCACCTCTGCATGATTGTAAGTCATGCAGAGTCTGCAAAAGACTCCGGAACAGTTTCCTGAGGATGCATCAGACTAGGCCGAGCATACTTTGAAGTGCCACCAAAATAAAACTTTAGAAAGTTTTATTATCTACATGGCAGTTGAGAAGTGCACATGCAAAAATTTCATAAATTGCACAAAGACAGTTTCTGCACATGCAGCGATGTTAGCAGTCGCGCCTAAACCACTGGTGCAAAACTAAATAATAAACTTGTATAAAATTTATTAATAAACCGGTATGAAGTAAAGGAATAAACCGGTAAAAAATCAAATAATAAACTGGTATACAATTAAGTAATAAACTGGTGTAAAACCGGGGTAATACACTAGCACAAAATCGAGTAATAAAGTGGTATAAAACCTAGTAATAAACTGGTATACAAACTAACCTGAAAAGAGTTAATAAAATGGCTGATTTATGTCAAAAATACCGATATCAAGCTGGTTTACAAAATTCTTAACTCATTTCCTTTTGAATTAAGTGCATTAGCTAAAATAAAATTTTTATAGAAACGTATGTAAATACCTAGAAAAAAATCCTATGTAGAAGATATATATATATAACTAGTATACTAGCCGTATAAAAACTAGTATATAGTATAATACTATTATAAAACTGGCATAAAATGGCATATCAATTTATGTGAAGTTTCGTCAAGCTGGAGCAATAAGCATGAAGTCTTTCAAAGAAGCAAAACGTACTTCTTTTGGAGCAGTGCCAGGCAAAATGCACCCACAGACACCTAGCACACTCAGCGCACATAGCCTCGAGAGGTTGTGAGGGCAATTCCGAGACTGTCAGATAGACCTGGTCGGTCCTAATGCTATAGGCAGAACTTTGCAATTACTTTCTTAGTTTGATAGCTGACTTTAAAAGGATTTCATGATCATACACATTTTCTTCCTTGGTGGGTCATAAAAATCGCCAAAGTCAAGTTTTCTTCATACATAACTCTTTTATTTATTACTTGAATTGAAAGTGTGGTACATGATTGAAAAGAAAATTGAGTACTGTAAACCTTTCTTACATCCTTTCTCTCGAGAATGTCCACTTAGTCTACTAAGTTCAAGTAACAAAATTTCTACTTCAATTAATTTCGACTTGGTATTGTTATCTCTGTAAATTTAGAAGAAGGTGTAAAGTAACTTCACCGGGGCTAAATGAGTTCCGCTCAAGGCTTACGAACGAATCTAATTTCTTATGCTGAATTTATACGTCGATTGCTAGACCAGCTATTGTGAGGTGACAAGTCTTAAACTACTTAGCAAGGTACAACGGATATGTATGATCTGAATTAGCTGAGCTAATGAGGTAGCTCTTCATTTAAGAGAAACAGCTCAATAGCACCCGAGACTCCTGGGATACTCTCGTATTCTAAACTAATTTAGTTCTTGATTTGCCCGACAGAACGAACTGTTATGTTCAAATTTCATTCTGAATATAAATTTCTCCGTGGAGATCCCAAGCATGGAGGTTGTATTAAAATTTTCACAGATTCTTCGAACCTTAATGGCATAGTGGGAGGAAACCGATTTTTCTGCGAAACCCTATACTTTTCTGCTCATTTATTTTACCAGATTATATTAGTGCTTTACAGGCTGAGGTTACAGCCGGAGATAGCTGTAAAGAACAGTCTTAGTATTGTTTAAGTTCCCGATCAAACGGATATGGAGAGATCTGTATGGGCACGAACTTGGTGGAATCGAACAAGATATTCTTTATGAAGAGATATAACACCATCGGAGCTCAGATGAGCCATTCTCCTCCTTTCTTCGCCAACATATATTTGTGGAGTAGCGGATAAAAATTTTAATGCCCGCCGAGGTTCATCCGAGACTATAACTGTATGAGTAAGGGGGGAGATAATCTTTTCCAGTTGTCATTTCAATATGTACATTCTTTTACGAAGAGTTTTAAATCTCGATTAATACCTTGTTAAAAATATTTTAAAAACTGGTATAAAATAGTTATACGTTTTTATTAAATTTGGTATAAAGCTGGTTGGTATAAGACTTGGATAAAAAGATAAAAACTCATGCAAAGTTTTGTGTTAAAGATACTAAATTTGTTTTATGTAAACTAGTATAAAACTTAAAAATAGTTAAACCAGTATAAAAACTTGCAATATTCTGGTGCATATTTGTTTTAAAATAGTCTATCAAAAAGGTCCTCAAACACAAGATTTGGCATAAAAACTGACCTGGTATAATTTAAATCAAAAAAAATCAACCATAAAAGTATTTAACATAAAATGTGGTATGAAACTAGTATAAAATGGTTTCAAACTGGCGTGAAGCGAATACAAAACTCGCATGAAACTTGTACAAAAACTGTTATAAGAGCCGTATAAAGTTTTTTTGTTGGTTTACAATTTTGTGTCCATCTATTATTAAATTTGGTAAGAAAACTAGTATAAAATTTGGTATAAAACTGGTATAAGACTTTTACAATTATTTGTATTACAATCAATATAAAAATCTATAAAAATTTGTTTAAAACCTAATAAAAAACGCCGATAATAAAACTGGTATAAAAAATTAAATTGGTATAACTACATCTAAAAAAAAAATACGTATTAAAACTATTAAACACTCTGACTCTGGCTCGCAAAAAACTGTTATAAAAACTGACAAACAACTGGTATGAAACCCGTATAAAATTTTATGTTGGTTTAAAATTCTGTGTAAATATCTTATTAAATTTGAGAAGAAACCACTATAAAATTTGGTATAAAATCTGCTATAAAACTCTTACAATCATTTGCACTACAATAAATATAAAAACTGATAAAAACTGGTTTAACACCTATTAAACAAAGCTGATATAAAACTGGCATAAAAAATAAAATTGGCATAAACATATCTAGTAAAAAATTAGATATTGTAATCATATATGTAATACTCCTATATTGGCAGTAAGAGCTAGTACCGTCCGAAAACACTACAGTACAGATATATCAATAAACACGTACGAAAGAAAAGGAACACATACGTTTATAAATAAACATGTACACGACACATTTACAAAAACGGCACTCAAGTACACAATACATTGACAAAAACAGTACTAGACTGTCTCGCTTTGATTTCGGAATGCTTACACATTGAGATGTTAGCTTACTACCAATATAGAAGTATTACATATATGATTATAATTGTTAACCACAAAAGCTGGCAATCATTGATACATAAAAATACAAAGAGCAGGCATTCACAATAAATATTAGTGAAAAATATTATTCACGCAAATGAAGCTTTACAAAACGCTCGAAATCTTATTTAGTATACAAAAATTTTTAGCCAAATCATACGCCATCAAGAAGCCTAAATTTTCAAAAATCCAATTTTCAATCAAATTGCGACGCGCTTGCAATGCCAAAGCAGCAACACCCTCCAGCGGCCCAGCAGTGGTGCAGCTGGCTGTCATCGTCCATGTGCTTGTAGAAGTTTGTCTGCGATTACCGGAAGCGCCACTAATTGGCACATGGCCACCACTGGAACCCGCTGCTGTAGGTCGCGTTTTTCTATGGCCTATTTGAAAAATATATTGGAATGCATGAGGGGAAGTGTAAATGATCTGACTATGATTGCGGGTATTATTCCTTAATACCTATAAAAAATGATTCATTCAGGTAAATATTGCATGCATCCGTAAAAAATATTTACTTAAATATAACTGCTTAGACTAAATTTAACATAAAATCAATGTTTTAATTTTGACTGATAATTTTGAATGCTTCGATTTTTTGGTTCTATGAAATGAAATTTCCAAATGAAGTATGCACCCAATGCATTCTCGAGCACAATGCACTTTAAATAAAAAAGTATTAACAAGTTTTTATTACTCAAGAGTTTCAAATATCCAGTTTTCCAAAAACGTTTTGCGTACTGCGATTACTGGTGTTGGTGGTCTTACTACCCAATTTTCGGTTTCGATTTCGGCTTTTTTATAATGTCTACGAAATGGTAAAGGACTCTGATGGTAGCGTACTCGTGAGCTTATTCTCGATCGAAGAAAAATATCATTTCCGAATGGATACTTCTGAATAGGATAATGTCTGATAAGATAATGATGGCGCAAAGCTGCAAGTTATGGAGTCCAAAAGAGAGAGAGAGAGAGAGCAAAACAATTTTTATTTCGATCGTGAATAGCAAATTAAAAAGTTTTCAGTATTTTTTTCGATGACACAATGGGCGGAAAACGCGTGTAAGAGAAGCAGTAAAAGGAGTAGAAATGTTATAGTATTATTTGTTAAGCGTTAAGTGGCATTTATGAGGTTTACAATTACTTAGCATCAAGTGGCATTTCACATCCATGTGTGCTCTTTGTTCGTACGTATCGGTGGGTGTACAGGTCGCTCATGTAAATGTGCCGCAAAATATGCTATATCATCTATGCCATCTTCTCTCAAAGCGGCTTTTGCGGCAATAAGATCAAGATCATGGAAAATAAGCTCTTCTTCTGGTATCGGAGAGATGGTCCAATATGTAAGCTCAACCTCTATTGAGTTTAAATAAATACGAAATAAGCGAGTGATATTTCCCTTTAGAATCTACACATGTGCATACATATCTTTCGTGTACCAATATGTATGTAAATATTTTCACGTTATTCATTTTCCCAACAAAAATGTTTCTACAAAACTCAGTAAACTTATTGAATATTTTATAAATTTAACGCACATGAAAACTAAAAAAACTGGCGGACATGTGCTCTGAAAGCAACTTATTGGAAGGTGACTTGTATGCTTTTGAAGTGTGTTGACCAAAAACATTGCAAAAAAGCCGCCAATTACATCCCGAAAATATCTTAAATTTGGTATATACATACATACATATATACGTCTGGGCCACAAGGACAATGTTATCTTATTGAACTTTGGAGCGGATGACGCACCTGGTATATCATATGTATCTTCACTCCATAGCAGCCATAATCAGCTAGAGAAGCTTTTTAAAGCTTTCCAAAAAAAGAGCTTAAACTCCCTGATCAATACTTCTCTCGTGCGGTATTGAAAAGGGAGAGCTTTAAACCTGTGCCTGCCTTTATAAGGCAGTAACGGCCAGTGAGATCTTTTACTCTCTGCGAGTATATATAAAATGCATAGAATGCTTTAAAAAGCATACTAAATACGTGAGATATGTTTGGGTCGTGCCCAAAAGCTGCTATGAGCACAGTAAAATCTCTCGACGCTGGCACTAGGCCGGTGATGGGCCCCGCCTTGCCCGCGGGCAAAGCTTTATTAAGCTTTCTATACATTTTATATAGTCGCGTGCAGAGTAAAAGCTCTCTCTGCCCATCGCTGCACCAGGCTATTCCGACGATAAAACCGTTTTCGAGCTAAATACATGAGTATTGGTTCTGGTAGTAATAAAATATACATACATAAGGGAGTTTTCTATGTGTGCGTATCAGACCGAAGTCATACTTAAATTTTCTGGGTCTGAAATTGGTGAGATAAAATTCCACTCCCTTCCCTCTTCCGTCTACAAAAAGCCGAATTCAGACGGTCTGAAAATACTACGAATCTTTGCGTTCAAATGGATATTAGAAGTTATTTAAAACGATGCACAGTGGTTAGAAACTGGAGTTTATTGTTCATAATCCTCCGGAGCCTTCATTTCTCAAAAAATTGTATTAACAAATGTTTGTTAATGCAAAAAAAATAATTCTTTTAATGAAGGCCTATAAAATTTACAAGAGACTTTTTGAGTCCGGTTTTTGAATTTTCATTTGTTTATATAAAATTGTGTAATGCAAAGTGCAAAGAATGTAGCAATTTTGAAGGATATCACAAGAAAACTTTGAATGTTATAAAAAATTGTCAAAGTTTTTTATTTTTTTATTTTTTAAATGAAACCCCATAAAAATTCACCAAAACAATAAAAATTTGAATTTTCGGAAAAGTTTTTGGTATGCAGTATAATAGCTTATAAAATTTTAGTGTCATAAAGTGCGAGTTTCAAGTGGCTAAGAAAGGCATTCCATATAAAAAAACATTTCGAGTACAATTTTTTATGGAAGAAAATGTCTAGCATAGTCAACAAAACAATTACTAAAAATCAACGCGAGTTCTCAGCCAATTGAATTTTGCACGGCATATTTACCTAATTTTTTTCTGAAAATTCAAAAAACAAAAAGAAATTAATTTTGGTGAATTTTTTTTAAAAAATTTAAAAATTCTCTTACGAATTTTTCTTGAACTATACATTTGAATTTTATTACTCTAAAATTAAAAAAAAAAAATACTTCTATGGTACTTTGGATCAAAAAATGTATAATAAATAAATCAAAATTTAAAAATCGGTCCGTAAATTTTATAAGTTTTAATGAAACAAATTGATTGAAAAATTAACGCTCTAGAGGATTATGATCAGTAAATTCCAATTCCAAACCACTGTACGACGCCAAAGACAAACCAGCACTGACCGCGAACCTAAAGCGAAAAAAAGTTTAGCTGAAAATATTGTATTTTTAACATCGAAAGGGATTGTCGCAACTATTCTAACCCAACCTAACATTATCAAGACACTTAATTAATTAACTTTGAGGAACTATAACTAAAGCTTCTATGCATTCTCTTCGTCTTAATTTAGTTCAAAAAAAATACAGAAGTTTATTGCTAATTTTCCAAGTAAGTAAAACTTGGCTCCAAAATAATAACAAAGTAAAATAGAAAAACTCATTCAAAGTGCGCATATACATACTTATTAGGGTGTCTCTCAAAAAATATGATAATTTAAATTTTTGTATGGGACACCTCCTTATTTTGTTTTATGTGCAAAATAAGAACTTCCACGAAAATTTTAAACCAATTTTTAGGGGTCTTTACTTACCAAGGTTTGACAAATTTAAAGCCTGATAAATTCGACATTTTATTGAAAATGATTCGTTTAAATTCATTCAATAGGCTTCACAGACGGTCATATGTTTAAGTTTTTTCCGAATAAGTGTAGCATTCCTCAAATTTTTGCTAAGTTCTAAATAACACTGATTTACAAATAAATTCTTACATTTTTTCTATGAGTAGGTTTTGAGATAATGGAATTTTTGTGTATTTCCGTTGTAGGATTTTAGTAAATTTGTTTTTGCTAAACGGATAAGGCCTCTTATTACAAAGAGTTATTCATTTGAAAGACAATTAAAATACGCGTCAAACGGTATACCAAATGTTGTGAACGGCCCAAAACTGAGTTGTAGCTACTAAAAAAAAATTATTTTTGCAAACCCTAGTAGCCAACATTGAAAACCATTTTAGAAATTCGAAATTTTCTGGGGACAAAAGATGTCTCATACAAAATTATGATGTTGATATTTTGAGGACAACCTTAATACATACATATGTATTTTGTATGTACCATTTTTCGGTTTGTTGCGCAGCGAAATTATATTAAAATAAAATACGGCCAATTTTTAAGGAAATACATAGATTTTGGATAAAATTTAATGATAAAACAGCACATATTTAAGCTACAATACAATACAATTTACTATTAAATTATTTTCAAGGCAGTGTTACATACTTATACCAAGTTTTGAGCGTTACAAACCAAATATTTACTACTTGAGCACCACACCCCCGTACATGCAATACGTAAAATATTAAAGATTTACATATCTACGTATAGTATGTGTAGGTATAACAAAGTTATTTACATATCTTTGCCGCTAAATACCCAGACTTCAGCAAAATCTTTACGTAAGTTCATTGATGTGGTTACTTTCGTGGTTCCCTCACTTTCGCTATCAATCTCACTTTCATTCTCTTCAAATGCGAGTGGCATAAGTATCACATCGTTATCCCATAGTAGAACCTTATGTGGATCTATATATGTAGGTAGTTATTTATTCCAATATGTCAAAAATTAAGTATGTATTTATTTTCTTCATGTGCTTGCAAGAAGATACCACGTAACACAGGGCTTGAGTTTAGCCTTTAGTTCTCTCTAATTGCATAGAATTTTAGATAGCCTCCAAAAAAATCATTTCGCGAAATCAAAACCTTTTTTTCTTGGGTTTGAGGTATAACTTAACATTCTACGTATTTAAATGAAAATATGATTTTTTCTTGTATCGGATAAAAATATAGATCACTAGCGCCCGAAAATCTCAAAATATTTTTTTCAAACGTTTATTTTTATGCAGAAATCTTTCTAAATCATCTCGATGCATTTCTGCATCAAAAAGAAAATTTTGTTGAAAATTTAGTTTATGTTTTTTGGTGTTAGTGCTCAATATGGTCATAAGGGGGTCCTTAAACATCCGAAATTCGATAAAAATTCCTTCTATATTTTTTCTTCTTTATGTGTATGTATAAAGTTTTATAGGTGTAGGAGGACGGTAACCCTTGCATACACAGAATTGTACAGTTTTTAGAGCTGCATCAAAGTAACTGCACATTTTTTCATTTTTTTCGGTAATGGTTAAGTTAGGTTAACATGGCAATTCTGGCAAGTGCCTTTCAACTCACCACAGTCTTTCAAAATATGAAATTCTTTCGAAAGACTAATTCAAAGATCTACCATGGGGAGGACTAAGCATTATATGTTTGTATTTTAGCAATCAGTTTTCTAAAAATCAAATGAAATTAAAAAAATATATATTTTTTCTTTCTAAAATAACAAAAACCAAAAATTTTAAGAAAATTAATTAAAAAGAAAATTGATTAAACAACAAAGAAGAAAACAATAAATTAAGTTTCTAAACATTAAATGATATTAAATACTAT